GCAGAAGCGTCTCAACGGCCCCGAATCGCAACCGCCGCTGCCGCTGCCGCCGCCGTCGCTGCGCTGCTCCCGCGCGGCTCCCGCTCGGCGCCCGCTAGCGCTGGGACGGGACCAACTGCTCGCCGTGGGAGGGGGGATAATACAGCACCCTCCTAGGGTGTGTGGCTCCGAAGTGGAGGTTCTGAAGACCCTTCATCCGCTAATTTGGTTTTGCCTAACAAATGCACCCAGATGGAGAGAGAGACGCATGCAGAAAAAAATGGACTGGGCGAAAATAGCTCGGCCGGCTGAGGCTCCCCCCTGTGGTTTGAGGAGTGGTCGGACCCGGCCCGCCCCTGCTGGCTGCTCTGCGTGTGTGTATTTGTATGTGTACTGTATGTAAAAGGCGGGGAGGGAGGAAACGATTGTTGTGAACGGGGTTTGGGGGCGGGTATCCGGGCCTCTAGCTCTTGGCTGCATGTTGGGGAGAAACTGGCAACCTTAGCTGCATGTTCTTGCATCGTTTCCCAGGGTGGGGAGACCTTAATGCTGCTTTTGCGCAGTTTGCATCATCCAGAGAAGAGCTGTACAAAAACCCATAGATAAAATTGGAGCATGAGGTGGTTGCAGGGTGTGCAGTTTGTAGGCCTCTTGCACGTCGCTGAATGGGCCTTGCAATCTCATTTTCCTTGAAATTGTAATATGAGCAAGGCCCATTTCAATTCTTTAACACTTTAAGTATCAAGGAAACTGCAATTTTAACAAATGCAAAATATGAAGAGTGGAAAAACAATGATAGGAAAGCGTAAGACTTTTAGATAAGATGCACGTTTAGGCCTAAACTAAATATTAGCTGCATCTAAATTTTATTACCCTAGTTAGCTGGTAGGTGGTACAGTGTAGAAGTGTTCTCTTCAAGGGATTTTAATCATTTTATTTTTTGTTCCTTTAGCCAATATATATTTTAATATGTTGGTGGTAATATGCTCAGCCTTATGTGAGTCGATACTTTAACATTTTTACTGTACCAGAGCTGTGTCACCAGAATTCTCTCGTTTTATTTATCCATTCACATTCACCCAGGTTCCCAATAAGTATGTAGTAGATAAGAAGGCATTTTGAAAATTAATAAAAATTAATCTTAAGTTTTGTTTCATTCTTCATTGAACCCCCAATAAAGTACCTACTGTGTGTCAAGCACTCTTAGGTGCTGGGGATACAGCCATGGACAAGGACAGATACTTCCTATTTAAAACAGAAGCTGAAAAAAAAGTACTAAAATGTATAAGTACCTAGCTTGTACTGCTTTAAACAAAGGACTCAACTGGGAATAAATCAAGAAAAGCTTTATTGGGTAGGTAAAAACTGAAAAGTTTAAAAAAGATATACAGCATGCCTTTATAAAGAAAAAACATTCCTAACATAAAATTGCAAGGAGTTTCAAGAAACTGAATCATACCTGGGCAATATGCAGAAGGCTCCAAGTGAAGCAATAAGAGAAATTGACTGGAAAGGGAGAGAGAAGAGTTGGTGAAATGTCTAGAAGCCTCTCATCCTGAATTTGAATTTTACATGATGTATATTAAGGAGCTACTATAGTTTGCTGAGCAAGGAAGTGTTAAAAATTAATCTTTTTTTTTTTTTTTGGCCTTTTTCGTGACCGGCAAGGGGATCGCAACCCTTGGCTTGGTGTCGCCCACACCGCGCTCAGCCAGTGAGCACACTGGTCAGTCCTACATAGGATCCGATCTCCCGAGTGCACCACAGGGCCAGCCCAAAAAAAATTATTCTTAAAAAAGCTATTTTTTGTAACACCAAAGTCAAGGGTTCAGATCCCCACACTAGCCAGCCACAAAAAATAAAATTAAAAAAATATATATTCCTGGGGCCGGCCTGGTGGCGCACTTGGTAGTGTGTGGTGCTTGGGAGTGCGGCGGCGCTCCCACCAAGGGTTCGGATCCCATATAGAGACCGGTCCGCTCACTGGTTGAGCGCGGTGCGGGCGTGACACCAAGGGTTGCGATCCCGTTACCGGTCACAAAAAAAGACAAAAAGGAAAAAACAATATATATATATATATATTCCTGCAGTTTCAAGGTAGGTGATAGCAGAAAGAGGCTGGAGGTAACTGTAGTACTCACTAAGTGACCCATTTCAGGGTAAGACTGGAAACTATGAAAAAGGGAAGGAAGGGCACAATTAAGTACACAGAGAAATAATTGTCAGGTATTGGTCATAAGTCATGCACAGGAAAAGGTATAGAAAGATGTCTTGAAGAAAAGTCCAGGATACTGAGTAGGAGAGACCAATGCATCAACCATCAATCATTTTTTGTGCACCTTCTTTGTTCTAAACCCTCTAAAACCTTGCAACTCCAAGTGTGGTCCAGGGTCCAGTAGCATCAACATTACCTGGGAGCTTGTTAGCAGCTCAACTCCTACCCAGACCTACTAAATCATAATCTGCATTTTTTTTTTTTTTTTGTCTTTTGTCTTTTTTCTGTGTCCAGCAACGGATCGCAACCCTCAGTGTTGCCCCCGTACCGGACCAGGGACCAGCAATGGGATTGCAACCCTTGGTGTTGCTCCTGCGCCTCGCTCAGCCAGTGAGCAGGAACCGGTCTGTATGTGGGATCCGA